CCCCTTTCCGATCCCCCTCCCCCCCTCCCCCCCTCCCCCTCCACCCTCACACACAAACACACACACACACACACACACAGCTGCAAGCCTACTTCCTGGTTGCCGACGACATCATGGACAGCAGCCTCACGCGGCGCGGCCAGCCTTGCTGGTACCGCCAGCCGCACGTGGGCATGGTGGCCATCAACGACGGCATCATCCTGGAGTCGTGCATCTACCGCCTGCTCAAGCTGCACTTCCGCGCCCACCCCGCCTACGTGCACCTGCTGGAGCTCTTCCACGACACCACCCACCGCACCGCGCACGGGCAGCTGCTGGACACGACCACCGCGCCGCCGGGTGGCGTGGACCTGACCCGATACACGGAGGGCACCTACCTGCGCATCGTGACCTACAAGACCGCATTCTACACCATCTACCTGCCCGTGGCCTGCGGCCTGGCGCTGGCGGGCGTGACCGACGAGGCCAGCCTGGCGCTGGCCGAGGACCTGAGCGTGCGCATGGGGCGTTACTTCCAGATCCAGGACGACGTGCTGGACGCCTTTGGCGAGCCGGAGGTCATCGGCAAGGTGGGCACCGACATCCAGGACTCCAAGTGCTCCTGGCTGGTGGTGCGCGCGCTGGCGGTCGCCAGCGCTGAGCAGCGTGAGGCCATCAAGGCAAACTACGGGCGCGACGATGCGGAGGCGGTGGAGGCGGTGAAGGCCGTGTACCGGGAGCTGGACCTGCCCGCCGCCTTTGCCGCGTACGAGCAGGAGAGCTACGACGGGCTGGTTCAGGCGATCGAGGGGCAGGACAAGTTCCCACCCGCCGTCTTCATGGGCATTCTGGCCAAGATATACAAGCGCACCAAGTAGGCCTGTGTCTGTCGGGAGAGTGTGAAGCTGGGACAGGAGTCAGGACGAGTGGTCAGGATGGGGAAGGAGACAGGGGAAAGGGCGAGCCAGGGGCTGGTGGCACCTGGCTGGCGGAAGGGGGCTGCCCAGGCGTCAACTCCTCCTGCTCCCGCGCGAAGTGTGCTGGTGCAGGGAGCCTCTCGCAACGCCCGGGCCCCCATCAAATACTTTGGGGCAAGGGGCGACAAGGCAGTGGCCAGCACATGATAGTAATCTTATCGGAACCTCATTGCGAAATTACCATCCATTGCCGACAGCACTTGCCCCGCCGAGGTCGAACTGGTGCGCGATGCAGTGTGCCTCTCTCACCCACTCGACCACCCCCGCCGGTGAGTGGGGGCCCGCTCGGTCCTGCTGGATGGCTGGCGGCATGGATCTCGAGTCCTCGAACCCGAAACTCGGGCGTTGCCTCAGGGTTCCCGCTCACACTTCCTGCCGTCGACCCCACCCCTCCTCGTCACAGGCCTGGCAGGGAGCAAGGCCAGCATCGCGACGCGGCCCGTCACCAGGTCCCGTGCACCGACCGCTCCTGCCCGTCAGTCTAGGAAGGTACGCTCCATGCCGAGTGGAGAAGTGGCCCTGGCATACCCGATCGCCTGTGAGAATGGAGGGGCACACCCAGCCACTATCAAGGGTGCCTCCCAACCGCTTGCACCCACACAGGCCCTGCAGACCCGCGCCACCGCACAGCTGGACCGTGACGTGGCCAGTATCCTGAACCTCACCAATGGAGCCCCCGATCCGCGCCCTGCCGACATCTCTAGGGTAGGATTGACGGCTGGGAGGCCTGCCGGTCAGGGAGGAGGGGGGGAGGGGGGGTCCGGTGTGCCAGTGCACTGGATCGGCCATGTGTAGACGCTGTCCCTTTTTCACTCCCCTCTCGTCTCACGGCGCCCCAAATCCCACCACCACCACCCTTCCCCACTCCCCCCCACACACCGCCCAGACCGTGCTAGGCATCATCCTGGGCGGCGGCGCCGGCTCCCGCCTGTACCCCCTGACCAAGCAGCGCGCCAAGCCCGCGGTCCCGCTGGGCGCCAACTACCGCCTGATCGACATCCCCGTCTCCAACTGCATCAACTCCGGCGTGAACAAGATCTACTGCCTGACCCAGTTCAACTCCGCCTCGCTGAATCGCCACCTGTCCCAGGCCTACAACTCCAACGTGGGCGGGTACAACTCGCGCGGCTTCGTGGAGGTGCTGGCCGCCTCGCAGACCACAACGCAGAAGAACTGGTTCCAGGGCACGGCCGACGCGGTGCGGCAGTACCTCTGGCTGTTCGAGGAGGCCACGCGCGGAGGTGTGGAGGACTACCTCATCCTCTCCGGCGACCACCTGTACCGCATGGACTACTCCGAGTTCGTGGCTGCGCACCGCCGCGCGGGCGCGGAGATCACGGTCGCGGCGCTGCCCTGCATCGAGAAGGAGGCTGAGGCGTTTGGCTTGATGAAGATCGACGACTCAGGGCGCATCCTGGAGTTTGCCGAGAAGCCCAAGGGCGACGCACTGCGGGCGATGCAGGTGGACACCACCCTCCTGGGCCTGGACGCTGAGACGTGAGCGTTTTTTTGGGGGGGGGGGGAGGGGAGGGTTCAGGGGTGGAGTTACAAGTGGGATGGAGGAGAGGAGAGGTGTGAATGGATGGGTGGGTGTGGGTGGGTGCAGTGGCAGGTGGGAGGCGAGGAAGATGGTTCTGGGTAGAACCTGAACTAAGTTTCTGGTATAATGCTTGCTGCGCTCTGGGCGGTGGTGATGGTGTATGTGATTGGCATCACCCCACTCCATGCCCACATCGACCCTCAACACCCCGCTGACATTCGCCACCCGTGAATGCAGGGCCGCACGCAAGCCGTACATCGCGTCCATGGGCATCTACCTGTGCAAGGCCAGTGCCATGCACCACCTGCTCACCGAGCGCTTCACCACCCAGAACGACTTTGGGTCGGACATCATCCCTGGCGCCAAGGATCTGGGCATGCACGTCCAGGCCCACCTGTTCAAGGGGTACTGGGAGGACATCGGGACCATCCGAGCCTTCTACGAGAGCAACCTGGGCCTGACCGACAGCCCCAACCCCAACTTCAGCTTCTACGACAAGGATGCGCCCATCTACACCATGTCGCGCTTCCTGCCCCCCTGCAAGGTCCTTTCCGCAGGTGCGCTGGGGGAGAAATGGTGCTGGGTGGAATAAAAAAGAGGGGGTTGGTCTTGAGCAGGGGGGACAAAAGTGTCGCGCTTGGACGGCGGTGGCCTACCCCTATGCTTAGCCCCAGTCCACGGTGTATCCTCCCCTTACAATACCATTGGCTCACATACAGAGGTGGAGATGTCCATCCTGGGCGACGGCTGCACCGTCAACCAGGGCTCCCGCATCGTGCACAGTGTGATCGGCCTGCGATCCCGCATCGGCCAGGACTGCCTGATCGAGGACACCATGCTCATGGGCGCAGACTACTACGAGCAGGGGGCGGAGCTGGACGAGTGCGCGCGCCTGGACAAGTGTGTGCCCATCGGCGTCGGCTCCGGGTCCCACGTGAGTGGCACTGGCCTGGGAGGGGGGTGGATAGAAAGGGGAGTGGGGATGGGAAGGGTAAGTGGGTGTTAGTGAGAATGAGGGGGGGGGGGAACGTCAGATGCTTGGCACTCATCCGTAGATGTCTGCATGTGCATGTGGGAGGCAGGCTGCACTCGCAATGTCGCTGAGGAACATGTGCTGCCATGCTAGGCGCCTCGCCGCCCAATTCTTTCTTGCTCCTGTGCTCACATTGTTGCCCCATTTCTTGTTCCTCATCTGCGCAACTGCAGATCAAGGGCGCCATCGTGGACAAGAACGCTCGCATCGGACGCTTCTGCAAGATCATCAACGTGGATGGCGTGGAGGTGAGGCGGGCCATGGGGCTCGCTTACTGAGAGCCTGGGGGCTGTGGCATGGTGCCAAGCCTAGGCTCAAACCCGCCACACTCCCCCTGCACTGATCCCCACTCCCCCACCGCCCCCTGCCCCCCCTATCCCCTCATTCTCAGGAGGCCAACATGGAGCAGCAGGGTTACGTGATCCGCGACGGCGTGGTGGTCATCATCAAGGACACCACCATTGACGACGGCACCATCATCTGACGTGGAGGGCGCCCACCAACCCAAGGGTACCTCGTCCACGGGGCGCGCTGCCGCCAAAAATTTTGTCTGGGAGCAGTCGGCTGCTGCCGCATTGAACACAGAGTGCCCTCGCCCCTGAGAATGACGTCATGAGGCACCCCGTGCACCGCCCTCATGCCTCCCCCTTTGTCCGCATGGCTGCCTTGTCTCCTCCCACCTTGCGCTTGCTTCTCGCCATGTATCCACATCTGAAAGATCTCCCAGCAGAGGGTGTCGGGCAGCATGCACATGTGACGCAGTATTCTGCCAGACCTACATGTACTTTGCTGGTCAGAAGATTCAGGATGGGTCGCCAAGGGGTGCCGCTGGTTTGTGAATGCTCACGAGCTTGTGCCACTGATTCGGCAGGAAAACAGCATGTTACCAGGCAGGATATCAAGGCCAGTCGCCTGGCACGCCGCTCAGGCGGATGCTTTCTGTTGTTGCCAGCTTTATTGGGAATGTTGTGGCTTCACGCACCCCAACCAACTGGCAGACCCCGACCTTCTTTATACTATCTGAAGACCACGTGTTTCCATGCCCGAGAGACCCTACTTTCCTGGGGGTCCAACCAAACTCCTGCTCACCACTGCTCTGCGCGGTAGATTGCAGACTGCTAACAGGCACGAAATTGACAATGGGGTTGCACCACGGGCAGTGAGTCCAAGTCCACAACCCCAACTCCATCCCTCCCAGAGGCACTCAGAGGCCCAGGGCGGAGTTGAGCGCGGAGTAGACCTCCACGCCGGCTTGTGCGGCCGCGAGCTCGTAGTCGTCACCCTTGCCCTGCAGCGAGGCCAGCTTGCCCGTATACTCGGCAAGGCCGGCACGGACGGCGTCAGAGTCGATGTCGGAGAGAGGGACAGCCTCCACAGCACACACATCGGTGGTGGAGTCGGCATGGATGAAGGCGAAGCCGCCACTGCATTGCATGGACGAGGGTGGTGGGGTTGAATGTGAGGCAATGTGTGCAGGCTTCGGTTCCCATTAGATCTTACAAAGCCCACTGCTCCGATCGGCACCATGTGCGCTCATACCGTCCCTTTGAGGATACCTGGCTCGACTTGCTTCCTTGCCAAGCCCGACCACCGCCCTGCCCACACCTGACAAAGTACTTGGTGACGTCCTTGTCCAGCTCGTTGTGCACAGAGACGACACCAGGCCGGAGCTCCGCTACGGTGGGCACGTGCCCCGGCATGACGCCAAAGTCGCCGGTGGTGGCGGGCAGGAGGACCAGGTCCACCGAGCTGCCCTGGTTGATGGCCGCAGAGGGAATGTAGAAGTTGAACTTCAGCTTGTCGGGCACGCTGGCGTTCTCCACCTTCTCCACCGGCTTGACGAAGTTGCTGGGAAACTCAGGCTCGTTCATTGTGCCCTGGAAGGCAGCGAATTTGCTCAGAAACTCCTGCGAGTTGGGCACGGGTGGTGGGAGGGCAGACGGGTGGAGGGGGCCCGGGGTCCGATGACATTGCGCGAACCCAAGCTTTCGCGGATCGCCGGTAATCTTGAAACCCCGTGCCCGACCTTCTTGCTCTGTTCGCTGGCATTCAGCTCCTGGAAGGCAGCAGTGCTGGAGCTCACGCTGCGGAGACCCGCCGCGCGGCATACGCCGCGAGCCGCGTGCCGCAACATGCTTGTCCAGTCACGCGAACAACTGCTTTCACACCAAATATCCGGTGTCGAAGAGGGGGGCGACCAACCCAAATTCTCCCGTGTAGTAAATGCCGAGCAGTCGCCCTTTCCAGTACCACGAACGGCACCCGGTTTGGTGCCTCCCCTCAAGTAGCAGTAAACATCGGCATTCAGCCCCCAAGAACCATTATATGTGACTATGCAACCGATTGTTGAAAAATTGCATGTGTTGTGAATACCAGGGTTAAAGTGGCGACGCCTATGTTTCAAGATTCTCGAGCATGTCAGGCTGATTCCTCCAGAATCTATCAATCAGCAGGACACCCCCAGATCCTTTGTCGTAAACAGACTCTGAGGTAGGATGAGCACATGATCTGAGGTTCATCCTATCCTCCGATGAATCGAGGACCTTGTGCACCTGGCAAAGAGGCCTCTGCCAATTCCTACTCGTTTACCGAATGTACATCCAAATTGGAGCAGTCTGAGGGAACAAGTGAACCTTCCCCAAAGCTCCAATGTTCTGGGGCCTGTCGGACTACAGACTGGCGCTATGCATTGGGCATTGATCTGAGTAGGGAGAAACGTTTTGGCCTGTTGCAGTGCTCTGCGCTGACTGACATGAGACGCTCTCCGTCTGCCGGTTTATATGTGTACCTGATGACCCTTCATGAAAGCCCTGAAGTACACGGGTTGATTTACTCCTACTGAAGTGCTCACTGAAGCCAGGATGGCTGCAAGGCTACGAGGAGACTCGATTCGCTGGGTGTTGCAATGTCTGCATCATGTCCTTGCTCCGGGAGGAGGGGTAGGAGGGGTAAAGTCATGGCGCGACGAGATCGCCGGAGTGTTCGTGTAAAATCGGTCGACCAGGGCCTCGATGTGTCGGTGCGCGGCCCAGCTCGCAATCATTAGCTATTCTTCAATCGGGATCTAGACGTGCTTATCCCTCTGGCCCTCCCAGGGGCGTGCCCAAGCATGGAGAGATGGGGTCTGCTCACGGTGCGCGCGGAGCTGCTGCTTAGTACCTGCTGGTGACCTGCGGTCAGCGTATGCAAATAGCACGCAACTCATACCCCATCCACCGCCACCGCAGTGCCTGGTCCTGGCCACCTGCATCTCCTGGACCCAGTCACAGGCGGTGGGCGTGGGCGACGACACCCCGGCCCCCGCCACCCCAGACTCCGGTGTGAATACCACCGCTCCGCAGACCCTGGCAGAGAAGCAGTACCAGAAGGCCATCTCCATACGGTACATGGTGGGGGTGTTGTGTCCAGGACTCTGGGAGCATGCTCTGCTCAGTGTCCCATCGCACCACCAGGCCCCTGCCCTCCTGTGCGCCAGGCTCCTGGGAGGGGCCGGGCGCGATCTCCTACTCATATACTCCCTCACATTGCCACACACGCAGGGACTCAGCATCCCCCAGCAAGGAGGACCTGGCCACGGCGGTGAATCTGCTGCTGGCCGCCGCGGGGATCGACGCCATCCAGGTCGCCCCCGGACGTGGCCGGGCGGCCGGCACGGGTCCCCCCCAGGCCAGGGATGCGCCGGTCACCGCAGCGGATGTGAGCATCGTCCCCACCCCCAACGCCGGGGCACCCCACAAGGAGGCCCTGCGCGAGCTCATCTACGTGTACCTGGAGGGGGACGGCGTGCCCTACAACCCCGCCATCGCCGACGCGCTGCTGCATGTGCTGGCCGACGCCGGGTCGGCGGAGGCCGGCGCAGACGTGGGCCTGCACACCTCGCTGGGGGTGCGGCTGGTGGGCCCCAACCCGCGCGGCGCGCTGTTCGCGCTGTCCGCGCCGGACCTCCCCGCCGCGCTTGCGCGGTACCAGCTGGCGGCCATGGCTGGCGACGGCGCGGCGCAGATGGCGCTGGGCCACCGCCACCTGCACGGGCTGGGCGTGCCGCGCTCCTGCGAGGCCGCCGCGCTGTACTACATCCCCGCCGCCGGCGCGGCGGTGGCGCTGGCCTCAACGCGGCAGGGCCTGCCGCCGCAGCGCGCGCTGCGGCTGGCCGGCGCGACGGGCGGCGGGGGCGCCCACCCGCGCCACGACCCGGGCCAGGAGGTCCTGCACTACCAGTGGTTTGCGGACTTTGGGCACGTGGAGGCCGCGCGCGCGGTGGCGCTGGCGCTCGCCCGCGGCGGCGATGCCGACATGGTGCGCGCCGTCGGCTACCTGCGCCAGTCGGCGGAGGCGGGGGACGCGGAGGCGCAGGCGCACCTGGGCCACGCCTACGCCGGCGGCGTCGGGGTGGCCCGTGACAACGCCACCGCGGCCCACTGGTTCAAGCAGGCCGCCGAGAAGGGTGGGTGGCCCGGGGGCGGGTTTCTTGGAAGTTGTGTGCTTGTTCGTTTCGTTTCGTGTGTAGGGGTGGTGGGTGCGGGTGGGCGGCGTCTAGGGGCGAGGAAGGAGAGATTGATGTGGCAGTGGGTGTGCCACAAGGAGTGGTCGCCTCCGGAAAGTCACAGAGGAAGGCACAGCCTGCTGTGAAGGAATGTTCCTCTAAAAGGGTCCGCGCTCGGCTGGCGGTGCATGTTCACCACCACCACCCCCCGTTGGGTCGCAAATCTCTCCAAACACTCCCCCACCAAAAAACAGGTCATCCGAGCGGGTACTTTGGTCTGGGGTATATGCACCTCGAGGGATCAGTGGAGGGCGCGTCCCTGCAAAGAGCCTTTTCCTACTTCAGGCAGGCGGCTGACGCGGGAGTGATGGTGGGCCAGTGGCCCGGGCACGCAGACGCTCACTTCTTCCTAGGTGAGAGGATTAAACTTCATCAAAAAGGGGTTGTTTCTGTGAAAGAATTCAAGTCCATCGTGTTAACCACTCCACCACAGCAGCGTGGTTTTGTCGGGGCTGGCCCTGGAATCCAGGGAGCGCTTTTTTTGTGCCTCAACAGCAGTTCGCTGCCGGCAGGATTCGAACCTGCGCGGGTTTCCCCAATGGATGCGGCTCGAATCACAGAGTGGCGGGAAGCTGTTTTTGTCCTATATGACCTCGCGTTTTGTGTGTGCGGAATGCCCTGGAGGATTTACGAGGTCCATCCATGGAAGGGGGTTGGGGCCACACCGACCACGCATTGACTGGCACCGGAACACTCCTCCTCCATCTGCCACCACACGGCTGCTCAATTCCACGCCAGCGCCCCAGCTCGCCTGCCACCCACCCCTTAACCCCACGCAGGCATGATGCACCTGCGGGGGATGGCGGTCGCCCCCGACATGCAGCGCGCGGTGCACCACCTGGGCGTGGCGGCGCGGCGCGGGCACATCCTGGCCGGCTACGACCTGGCCATGCTGCACCTGGGGGGGCACACGGGGTCGCGGGCCGCCTGCCCCGACGCGGTGGCCCTGCTCAAGGAGGTGGCGGAGCGCGGCTGGCCCACGCTGCAGGAGGCGCATGAGGAGTGGCTGCGCGGCGAGCCCGAGTGGGCCCTGCTCAACTACCTCAAGGCCGCGGAGATGGGGTACGAGGCGGGGCAGAGCAATGCGGCCTGGATGCTGGCCCGCGGGCACGGCGGCGTGGCCGACGCCGGGGCCGCCGACGCGGCGGCGCTGGCCCTGCACCGGCGCGCGGCGGCCCAGGGCTCGGTGGCCGCGCTGCGCGCGCT